AGAAGATGGTCCTGAAAGCAATAAAATTGCAGGCATACGCTCATAAAATTCTGACAGGAAGAAGGTCGAGGATGCACACGATAAGAAAAACTTCAGGGCTTGCAGGTTTTCCTAAAAGGGATGAGAGCGTTTATGATGCTTTTGGTGCTGGACATAGTTCTACAAGCATATCTGCCGGACTTGGTATATGGTTCTCACTCTAAACTCTTTCATTCCATGAACATGAGGTGTAAAACATAAAATTTAAGATACATCACTGAGAACTTGAGAATATAACCAACATTCAATGAAAAAAATGTAGGCATGGCAGTGGCAAGAGATCTTCTAGGGAAGAAGAACAATGTCGTTTCAGTGATTGGCGATGGAGCCATAACTGCAGGACTTGCATTTGAGGCCATGAATAATGCAGGATTTCTTGATGCTAACCTAATTGTCATATTGAACGATAATAAACAAGTATCTCTGCCAACTGCAACTCTAGATGGTCCTGCGACCCCTGTTGGAGCTCTCAGCAGGGCTTTAACCAAGATTCAAGCAAGCACCAACTTCCGCAAACTTCGTGAAAAAGCAAAAGTAAACCTCTAAGATTTCTTTTATTTAAGTCTTCCATCCCAATTCTTCTCCCATCTTTGAATCAACAGAAATCTGACTGGGACTACTTGTGTTGAAGGGCCTCGCTAAACAACTTGGCGTACAAGCACATGAACTTGCAGCAAAGGTAGATGAGCATGCAAGAGGAATGATCAGTGCTTCTGGCTTCACCCTCTTTGAGGAGCTAGGGCTATATTACATTGGTCCAGTTAATGGACACAATATTGAAGATCTAGTATTGATCTTTGAAAAGGTGAAAGCCATGCCTGCCCCAGGGCCAGTCCTAATCCATATCGTGACAGAGAAAGGAAAAGGCTATCCCCCAGCTGAGGCATCGGCTGACAAAATGCATGGTAAAATTGCAACTCGTATATAAATGGTGATGTTATGACCTATCAAAATGATCATTATTCTATCTGCTCTCAGGTGTAGTAAAGTTTGACACAAAAACAGGCAGGCAATTTAAGCCTACGTCCTCTACACTGTCATATACACAGTACTTCGCTGAATCGCTCATAAAAGAAGCTGAGGATGATGACAAGATTGTAGCCATCCACGCAGCTATGGGTGGGGGAACAGGTCTGAATTTCTTCCAAAAAAGGTTCCCAGACCGCTGCTTTGATGTAGGGATTGCCGAGCAACATGCAGTTACTTTTGCAGCTGGCTTAGCCACTGAGGGTCTCAAGCCATTCTGTGCCATCTACTCATCATTCTTGCAAAGAGGGTATGATCAGGTGAGCTCACCACTATATATATATATATATATACACACACACACTACATTGTATATGACTGGATTTCATTCTGAAGCAATATTCTTTCATTTCTCACTTTCTCCTGATTAGCACTTTTGTTGGAATATTTTAACTCCAATGGTAGGTGGTGCACGATGTGGATCTTCAAAAATTACCTGTCCGCTTTGCAATGGATCGAGCTGGATTGGTTGGTGCAGATGGACCAACCCACTGTGGTGCATTTGATATCACATACATGGCTTGCTTGCCCAACATGGTGGTAATGGCCCCATCTGATGAGGCTGAGCTTATGCATATGGTTGCAACAGCAGCAGCCATTGATGACAGACCCAGCTGCTTCAGGTTCCCCAGGG